TGGACGAACAGTTACACGCTGTCTTATCGCAAAGAAAAATACCTAAAAAAAACGTAAACAAAAAGGGAAACAAAAACGTAAACAAAAACGTAAACAAAAACGTAAAAAATAACATAAACAAAAGGATGAAAACAAACGTAAAAAAGGAAACATCTTTCACTTCAAATCAGCGGAGGGGAATTGTTTTTTATTTTTTTTTCCGTCTTTTTTTATCATTGCCATGGCTGGCATGGGTGAGCCCCAGTTCGTCCGAAGCCGCGCTTGGCCGTATTTCTGCGATTGATAGGCCCAGGGGAAAGGCAAACTCAACCGCGCGGGGACATGGAAACGTTCGTACGCACAAACGGACGACGAAATTTGTCTGTCATTCCCCAGTGAGTGGAAACGTACACGTATCACTCCTCCCCTAGGGGTGTCCAAAAGGGTTGCGACAAAAAATATCCAAGTGAAGCACCACACTATCAGTCAGTCATACAAAAAAAAAAAAAAAAAAAAAGTGGTAATGCAGAATGACACTTTCATACAGGTAAAATAACTTCCCCTCTTGTCACTAATGTGAACAAAATAGTTGCAATTTTTTGCAAAGAATGCTTCTTCCGGTTAGGCGGGAGAGGACCCTCGTGATAAGTCCAGCGCTTGCCCCATGTGTGCACATGTATGTGCGTGCAGAACAGCATACCTCGTGTAGCACCAACTCTGTGTGCCGTCTTTCCCAACCGAAGGTGTCACTTCCCCCCCTCGTGCGAGTTGCAGAAGTTGTAAAAGGTGTACGCACCGCTTGATCATAACGCGCCAGAAGGGGAAGCCATCCAAGGGTGTGTAAGACCGACCAAAACGTTTAGTGAGACCCCCTCATACGGAAAACAACAAGATTTCTCTTCACACAAAATGAATCGGGTGAAACACAAATGGACATACCTTTCACTTACGCGGAGAAGTCTGCATACGTATATAACCCTCCTGTGCACAATCCCTCACCAGAAGGAGAGCGGGAGCCCTTCGCAAAATCGGATCGGCACCACCGGGGAAACGAACCACACAAGGCAACGTTCATTTTTCGACTTTTCCCCTTCCTCTTCCCCTAATGGATGATCATTCCCTTCCAATTTAGATTACACTGCAGTAGGTTCTTAAAATGGCTCTGCTTCTTATGCGACTGAGCCACTACTTTTTTTCTTTTTTTCTTTTCGTCCCTCCCCCGCTACTGCTGCGTTGCTGCAACTGTGGTGCACAGACATATCTGCATGTGAGGGACGCATTTCTCCTCACCAGTTGAGAATACATCCTACGTGGAGGCGTTGTGGGTGTTAGAGGCGTTGTGGGTGTTAGAGGCGTTGTGGGTGTTAGAGGCGTTGTGGGTGTTAGAGGCGTTGTGGGTGTTAGAGGC